ATGAGTCTGTGTGTGTGTCAGTGTGCTTGTTAGCCATCTGTGACAACAACATACAAGGGGTACACCCCCTCAAAAACTGAAAATGCTCCCCTGGGTGGAGCTTTCATAGCACGAATTTTTCCTGCTAGGCGGGCATCGAGCAACTTGCTCTGACGTAGTGCACACAGCAGTCTCTTGGGAAGGTTCTCTCTGGTCACGGTGAATTTTTTTGGAAAAGCAGTTTCACTAGAACCTCGTTTGTTGTGATGGCCAATTTAAGAGAACAGCATGCAGCTGGGAAGTTTTGTTTCCTGCTCAGGAAACACAGCTTGATGTTGAAAACAGCTTACAAGTTCATCACTATGGGAAAAACTCAAGTTTACGAGTGGTTTTCTCATTTCAAAAAAGGTGAAATGTCAGTCAATTTATGACAAACCTCATTCTGGACGTCCGTCAACTTCCCCAACGGATGAAAATGTTAACAAAATCCGTGCACTTGTGCTCAAAGGCTGACAACAGACCATTGAAGAGCTGGGGAAGTTATCAGGACCATCTTAGAGCTCGGTTCAGTGAATTTTAATGGAAGATTTGGGAATGCGAAGGTTTGCCGTGAAATTTGTGCCTCAAGTTCTGACTGAGCAGCAAAAAGAACATCGAAGAGAAGCATGCTGTGCTTTGAAAAACACAGTTCCAAAGCAACCCAGATGTTTTCCCAAGGCCATTCCTGGTGATGAGACGTGCTATTTTTTTTTGGGGGGGGGGCTGTCTGGGAGGGGGTATGTTGGAGTATGGGAGGACACTATTCTTACCACCTGTTGAAAGCAAACATCAATCAAGCCAGCAGAAGATGCCATCATCACCTCGCCCCAAAAAAGCTCATCAAGTGAAATCAAAGATCAAGACAATGCTCATTTGTTTTGTTTTTTATGTGGGGGGTATAGTGGAGTTCATACCACCAGGGGAGACTTTTAATCAAACATTCTGTTTAGAGGTTCCGCAAAGATTGCCTAACAGTGTGCAACAAAAAAGACATGATTTATGACAGATGTAGGACTGGTTTTGCTACCACGACACTGCACCTGCTTATACAGCCATCTCAGTATGCCAGTTTTTGGCAAAAAACAGCAGGCCTCTCTTGTCCCACATCTTATTTACCTGACCTTATCCCATGCAACTTCTTTTTGTTTCCAAGAATGAAGAGGGACATGAAAGGACAGCGATTTGTGGATATAAAAGAGGTGAAGACAAAAATGAGGGAGGTGCTGTCAGCCAAACAAATGAGTTTGAAAAGTGTTTCCAAGAATGGAATTGCAGATTTGACAAATTTATTAAGTATAACAGAGAGTACTTTGAAGGTGATGATGTTGTTTTGTAAAAAAATTTAAATTCATAGCTCTCATTTTTTGTACCTCCACATATCTATAGAAATTCCTATTTCTTTGCCCATTTTTAAATTGGTTGTTTTATTCTTTCAGTTCTTGAGTTTTAGTAGTTTAAAAATATATTCTGGATATTATTTTGGTTGCTCAGGGCTCCTTGCAATTCCTTGTGAGTTTGAAATTTTACTTTTCCATTTCTTTGGAAAAAGTTGTTGGAATTTTGATAGGAATTTTGTTTGATCTGTTTTTAATTTTATTGCTTTAGATCAGTGGTTCTCAACCTTCCTAATGCTGTGACCCTTGAATACAGCTCCTCATGTTGTGGTGATCCCCAACCATAAAGTTATTTTCATTGCTACTTCATAACTGTAATTTTGCTACTGTTAGGAATTGGGCGACCCCTGTGAAAGGGTCGTCTGACCCCCAAAGGGGTCGCAAACCACAGGTTGAAAACTGCTGCTTTAGATCGTATTTACAACCTAACAATATTAAACCTCCTAACCCATGAATGTAGAATGTCTTTTGTTTTATTTAGGTCTTCTTTGATTTCTTTCAGCAGTATTTTAAGATTTCCATTGTATAAATCTTTTACTTCCCTGGTTAAATTTATTCCCAGGTATTTACTGTTTTAGATAAGAATGTAATTAAGATTATTTTCTTGATTGCCCTTTCAGACTATTCATTGTTGTTGTATAGAAACATGATTGGTTTTTGTGTGTGTGCCGACCTTATGTCTGCAATTTTGCTGAATTCATTTATTAACTCTAGTAGTTTTCTTGTAAATTCTTAGCTATTGTCTATACTGTTTACAGAAATTACAGTTTATCTGATTATTTGCCCCACATACACATTGAATAAGTATGAGAGACTACAACCCTGACGCACATCTTTTCTGACTTGAAGCCAAGCAGTGTTCTCTTGTTCTTTCTGTTCATACAGCTGCCTCTTGATCCATGTACAGGTTCTGCATGAGCACAATGAAGTCTTCTGGGATTCCCTTTCTGCTCAAGGCTCTCCATGGTTTGTTAGGAGCCAGTCAAATGCCTTTGCATGGTCAATAAACACCAGTAAACATCTTTGTGGTATTCTATACTTTCAGCCAAGATCCATCAGATGTCAGTAATAATGCCCCTTGTTCCACCTCTTCTGAATCTAGCGTGAATTTCTGGCAACTCCACATCAGTGTACTGCTGCAACCATTGTTGGATCTTCAACAACATTTTACTTATGTGTAATATCAATGGTATTGTATAATTTGTGCTTTCTGTTCAGTCATCTTTCTTTGGAATGGGTACAAAGGTGGATGGATCTCTTCCAATCAGTTGACCAAGTACCTGTATTCTAAATTTCCTGGCATAGATGAGTATTTCCAGTATTTCATGAGTTTGTTGAAGCATTTCAATAGGTAGCCCATTAATTCCTTGAGCTTCGTTTTTGCCTTATACCATCAGTACAGCTTGTATATCTTTCTTCAGTACCATTGATTCTTGATCATATATGGTACTTGGACTGGAGGAAGGCTTATTAACAACCTGCAATATTTAAATGACACAACCATGCTGGCTAAAAGTAAGGAGGACTTGAAGCATCAGCTCATGAAGATCAAGGATTTCACCCTTCGGTATGGATTGCAACTCAGTGTAAAGGAAGCCAAAATCTTCATAACTGGCCAATAGACAACATCGTGATAAACAGAAAAGATTGAAGTGTCAGGGATTTCATCTTGCTTGGATCTGCAATCAGTGCTCATGAATGCCACAGTCAAGAGACCAAATGACACATTGCATTAGCCCAGCAGTTCTCAACCTGTGGACCACCACCCCTTTGGGATTCAAACAACCCTTTCACAGGGGTTGCCCGATTCATAACAGTAGCAACATTACAGTTATGAAGTATCAATGAAAATAATCTTATGGTTGGGGGTCACCACACCATGAGGAGCTGTATGAAAGGGTCGTTGCATTAGGAAGGTTGTGAACCACTGCTTTAGATCAATCTGCACAAGACCTAGTGAAAGTGATGAAAGGTAAGGAAGGGTGTTTACTGTAAGGACTCGGCCATGGTGTCTTCAGTGGTCTCATATGCATATGAAAGTTAGACATTGAGTAAGGAAGAGTTTAGAAGATGCATTTGAATTATGGTGTTGGTGAAGTATATTGGAAGTACCTTGGACTACCAAAAGAACCAACAAATCTGTCTTGGAAGAAGTGCAGTCAGCATGCTCCTTAGAGGCAAGGATAGTGAGACTGTCTCGTGTACTAGGGACATGTCAGGAGATACCAGGCCCTGGCAAAGGACATCATGTTTGGGAAAGCAGAGGAGCATGGGAAAAGAGGAATGTCCCCAACAAAATGAACTGGCACGGTGTCTGCAGCAGTGGACTCATCATAAGGAGACTTGTGAGCATGATCGGGACTCAGCGGTGCTTCGTTCTTCGTTCCTAGGGTTGCTACAAGTCAGAACCCACTCAAAGGCACCTAACAACAAGGAGTTGGTACCAAGGGCTCAATAGCAAGTAAATGTCTAGAAGAGAATGAGGGCAACATATGTATAAACATGCCTGATTCAATTCATGTCTGGATTGTATAAGAGTTGTACGAGCCCCCAATAAAATGATTTAAAAAGAAAAGAAGTGGTTTTACGTCCTTCTTTCGGATTTATATGCCTTTGATTTCTCCTGCTTTGTCTAGAACATCTGCACAGTACTGACGGTGATGAAGACAGGTGTCCTTGTTCCTCATCCTAGGGGAAAGCTTCAGTGTTCGTCACTGAGTATAATATAAGCTGTGTGCTTTTTATAAATGCTTTTCCCATGTTGAGTTTTTCTTATGCACCTAATTTCTTGGTATCTTGGTTTTGTTTCTTTTTAACCACGAAAGGATATTAGAATTTGTCAAATGCCCTTTCTGCATTAATTAAGTTAATTATGTGGCTCTTTCCTTGCATTCTATTAATGTGGTATATCATGTTGATTGATTTTCCCATGTGGGCCCATCCTCATATTCCTTTTAATTTGTTGGACTTGGCTTGTTAATATTTTAAAGATTTTCATATGTATATTCATAAAGGGATATTGATCTATAGTTCCCTCCCCCGCCCCCATGTTTTATCTTTATCTGGCTTTAGCATCATTGTAATGCTAGCCTCATAGCATGAGTTAGGAAAGACTCCCTCCACCTGTGTATTTATTTCCAAGAGGGTGAGAATATTGATTTTAATTTTTCTGTAAATATTTGTTGGAATTTAACAATGAAGCCCATTGATTATGGACTTTTGTTTTTGGAGGTTTTTTTGACTATTGGTTCAATCTCATCACCTGTTAAAAGACTGTTGAGATATCCTATTTCTTCTTGCATCATTTTTGGTACTCTGTTTATTTCTAGACTTTGTCCTTTTGACCTAGGTTATCTAAATAGTCCTATGTTAGAAAACATAACTGATTATGTTTTAACATTTAGATAATTTGTAGGCTGCTTTTCAGTTTTTCAGCCATTTTGAGTTGACTTTTTCCCACTTAGTACTGATTTTAAAACGTTTTGGTAGTATGGAATTGTACTATATGACAACAGCATGTTGGGAATGTAAGTTTTAAGAATCATTGGCATTACATTTTAATTATGTATATTACATTTTATCTTTTAGGAGTGTGTATTCGTCAAACAGACACATAAAATATGAAGAGGAACTCCTTATGAAAAAGATACTGGAGAGTTGGTTACCACCAAAGAAGCCCGACTTAAATCTTGAAAAATACATGGATAATGATGGAAGATCATCTATAGAATTCTTAGGTAAAAAATTATCTGACTGTTCCCTTCTGAAGAGTAACGTTTCAGAGGAGAGCAATATTAGAGAGGACAGTTAATTTCTACTGGGGAGCTATTTTGTAATAGACTTTTATAACACTTTACCACCATGAAAGTAATTATGTAGTGATAGTATGTTAGAAAGCACACTGCATAATCCTGCTCTACTTGTTTATTTTTATGTAAGCATGGGAAAATGAAGATGCTAGTACAATCAACTCCAAGTTTCCCCAAGTAATTGGAAATGGGGTTATTATGAATAAATCCATGTAAGATTCTCACTTCTGTTTTTTTTTTGTAATCATTTTATTAGGGGCTCATACAACTCTTATCACAATCCATACACACATCAATTGTGTCAAGCGCATTTGTACATTCATTGCCCCTCACTTCTGTTTTTAACCATTCAAGCTTCCACATGTTGTCAGCCTTTTTCTAATCTACACCTATGGAGAGAGGCTTCAGCAGACCATTTAGAGTCTGTTCTGTTAAAACATAATACCATTTCAAACAATTTGTGGGGAAAAGGAATTAACAGTTAGTCAAAAATTTCCACCATCATTTTGTTTGTTTGTTTTAATTTAATCTAATTTTTCCCAACCATCTTTTTAAGCCCTCTCATATATGCATTCCTAAAAAAAAAAAAAATCACCATGCAGCACAAAATCACCAATATGTGAAAACTTTGTCATGACATAGAATAAAACATGAACCAAGGTAACATGGCTTCACAGATATTAAATAATTACAGACATAAACTGTCCACTAAGTATGGCACTTTATCTGGGAAAAGCCTAGCTTGTGGAAGTGGGCATTGGAAGGATAGTCGTGTGTGAACTGGTAGAAGGAAGTTTATAAGTATATAGATAAAAATATACAAATAATAGAGGGCTCTTTCGAAGCAAAGGATGGCAAGACTTTGCCTCACAGAGTTCAACTAGGAAGGACCAGTCCCAGGAAAAGGACATCTCGCTTGGTAAAACAGATCATCAGTGTAATGAGGAAGACTGACACAGGATGGATTGACACGTTAATGCCATACTGCTCAAACATAACAATTTTGAGGATGATGGAGGACCAGATAGTGTTTGATTCTGTTGCACACAGGGTCACTCTGAGTTACAACCGACTTGACTAACAACAACAGATATTCTTATCAGAAATACAAGGTTTCTGGATCAGAAAACAGACTATCATAATCTCGCTTTGTAAGGTGATGTGGTCATACAGTGCGGCCTGGTATTACCATGCATGTGCAGTCCGCTTGCGCTGCAGGAGAACTAAAACCAAACTTAACTGCCATCGAGTTGATCCCACTAATAGCGACTCTAGAGGGCAGAGTAGAACTTCTCCTGCGGGTTTCTGAAACTAAATCTTTATGGGAGCACACAGCCTCATCGTTCACCCTCGAAGCAGTTAGTGGGTTTAAAACATCAACCTTGTGATTAACAGTCCAATGCTTAACGTATTGTGTCACCAGCAGTCCTCATTGCAGTAGAGAAATCCCTAAATCAGGAGACTTTAAATCTTGTTAAAGCTGCTGACGTATCTGCCCAGCATCCCCCTCCTTTGCTTTGGAAAGAAAAGACCTGGTCTATGGAGGAGAGAGAAAAGTCTCAGTCTCCCCACCTCTGAGAGAGGGGCTTCAGTATTTCGGGAGTAGGATAGAGTCCCAGCCTCCCATCGCATGTTTGCGGTTTAGTTATCCTTAGCCAAGCTTGCCAGTGTTCTGCTCAGAAATACAAAAATACTCACAGGAAATGGCCTCCCAACTGTTGGCTATCGGAAATCAGATGGAAATTTATAACATCAGCTGTGAATGGGTGCAGCTTCTTACACATGCCGTGAACCTAGGTGTCTGTATGTTGTTTGAAAGAGGGGTGTGTGTGTGCATGTATTTTGTGTATTCTTAGATGGCTTGGTTCAGATGGACACAGTTTCCTGCATTAACCTGGTGTTTCCCATACATAGAATTACACATAACCCAAAGCAAAATCCGTATGATGCTCAAATTGTCCCCTAATGAGACCCGGTGGTGCTATCAGGTAAGGGTTGGGCTGCCAAGTACAAGGTCCACTTTAAGCCCACCAGTCACTCCATTGAAGAAAGATGAGCCTCTCTGCTCCCATACAGATGTACAGTCTCAGAGACCTTATTTAGGGTCACTATGGGTTGAAAATATCTGTACGGCAGTGTTTTTTGTTTGTTTGTTTTCTGTTGTTACTTGTACTGGATCTAATTCATGTTTTCATAACAGGTATTATGGCAAAACTAACTACATATGAAAGTGCCTTAGGGATCTTATTATTGGTGTTTAGTACAACAATAATAACAACTAACTTGATTTTAAAGATCAGTTTGATTCCTTTTATATTAATTCATAGTGTCTAAGGTGAATTAATGAACAGACATCTTAGATTCTGAGATAAATCTAGTCATATTTTTATCTCATTTTGCCTCAAATAAGCCTAGGAGGAAAGTTGTCCCAGACTAATTTTATAGATGAGGGGTCTAAGATTCAGAGCACAGAGACTCTCCTAGTGCCACACACAGCAATTGGCAGAGCTAGTGTTTGGTACCTGTGTTTCCTGCCTGTCCAATTGCCAGATTAATGTATACTTTTTTTTTTAAAACATTTTATTAGGGGCTCATACAACTGTTATCCCAATCCATACACACATCAGTTGTGTAAAGCGCATTTGTACATCGTTTCTCAAAACATTTTTTCTCCACCCAAACCCCCGACATTAGGTCCTCATTTTTCCCCTCCCTCCCCGCTCCCCCCATCCGCATGAGCCCTTGATAGTTTATAAATGGGTATTTTGTCATATCGTGCATAATGTATACTTTGTGCCCATATCTTCCAGCCAGTTTTTCACATTGTCAATGCTGCCTTCCATGGAAACTCCTCTAGTTTCTCTGGATTTTCCTTCTCGTCACTCTTCCGCTTTCTTCACTGGCTCCTCTTTCTGTTTCTAAAATAATTGGTACTATCTTCTTTCTCCCCTACTGACTAGACATCTGCTTAAACATACCTTCACCCACTCAATGTCATGGAGTAGATGCTGACTCATAGCAACCCTATAGGACAGGATAGAACTACCCCTGTGGGTTTCTAAGACTGTAACTCTTTATGGGGAGTAGAAAACCCCATCTTTCTATGACAGAGTGTCTATGGTTTCAGACTGATGATCTTGCTGATCGCAGCCCAACTCATAACCGTTACACCACCAGGCTCCTTAAACATACCTTAAATATATAAAATGTATTTGTTCTACATTGACCTCATTATCCTTCTTGCCACACTTTTTCTTCTCTTGAACACTGTATCCATGTTTCTAGTCGTTTATTCATTCACCCTCTTTCTACTCATTTCCTCTCTTATCCTTCATACCATGTTGATGACCAGATTTATTGATTTATCTCACAAATGCCTTTAAATACTTCTCTTGATTTTCCTGCTATTTCTGTATTTCAAAATTTCTCACCCCTCATATCCACCCCTACCTGCCTAATTCTGGTTAGAGTTTTATGTTTTTCCTTCAAACATTTTTATTCTGCAATATTCAATACCTTCATTTATTTAACAAATATTTATTTAGAATCTAATATGTGCCAGACACTGTTCTAGATACTACAATGACTGAAATAGATTTCTAGCCCTTTTGGAACTTACATTCTAGTTAGAGGTATTAGAGTGGGGGATGGAGAGAGATAGTAAACCATAAACATATTAAAATGTTTTAAAGGTGGTGAACTATAGAAAATACACTATCCTGTGATGATGGCCTAGACGCAGGCTGAACAGGTGTGGGAGGGGCAGCAGAAGAATATATGTGGAAGGAATCTATGTAGGTTTAACAAAGACTATCTGTTTCTGTGTACTTACCTTTGCTACAATATATCCATGAAAATGCTAGAGCATTAAAACAAGTAAACAAGCAAAAACCAACCACTGCCACCAGTCAATTCTGACTCATAGTGACCCTCTAGGACAGGGTAGAACTCCCTCTCTGGGTTTCCAAGACTGTAACTCTATGAGAGTGCAAAGCCTTGTATTTCTCCCATGAAGTGGTTGGTCATTTTGAACTGCTGACCTTATGGTTAGCAACAGGAGGTAAAGTCATGAAAACTTCTTAGACATAGCCAAACACCTTTAGGAAATAGTTGCTGAGCCGGGGGATTCAGAACTATAGTTTCGGGGAACACCAAAGTCAATTGGTGTCATGGTTATAGTTCACAGCGACAGTGTTCTGCATCTTACTTTGTGAATGGTAACTGGGGTCTTAAAAGCTCATGCGTGGCCATCTCCGCCACAACTATTGGTTGTTCACCATTCAAAGGAAAGAAGAGTGAATGAAACTGGAAGACATATGGAAACAATGAATCGAGTGGACTAATGAACCCTGCAGACATGAGTCTCTATAACCCTGAGACTTGAAGTATTAGATAATACTTGGACGCCACCACAATTGGGTCACATTAGAAGGTCCTGCCTAGAGTAGGAGAAAAATGTAGAACAAAACTCAAAATCCCAAAGGAGATCAGCCTACTGGTTTTAAAGAGACTGGTGAAATTCCTTAATTAGCCTTTACCTGGGGAACTGAATTCACTCCCCTAAATTCAGCCAAACCATTGTCTAGTCTATAAGGGGAACAATAACAGTAGTGAAGTATGCAGGCCTTAGAATAATCAACGATTTAAGATCAATGTAGCTTTTATGCAAAGACTAATTTCAGAAGGATATTTAAAAAAGGAGGAATGGAAACACATGGAAGGAGTGGGATAAGTGATGGTACATTAAGGGGATGGCCGTGAATGACATGAAGCAAAATGTATATGAGTTGTTGAATATAAAACCGATGATCTTCTCTGTGAGCTTCTAATGAATTCATGGTAAAAAGTTAAAAAATAATAACACAACCCCAAATCTGAAACCCATTTCCATCAAGTTAATTCCAACTTAAATGAGCCATATTTTATTCAGCACATATAGATTGACACTGAGCTATCTGTAGAGGTTATCTAGAGAATAGATTAATAATACATATCCTCAAAGACCTGAATCTAGTGAGGACATTTATAAACAGATTTCTTTATATATATATATATCAATATATCTTAATCCACTAACCAGCCTTCTAGCACTTCTGTTTCTCTGGTTTTTACTGTGCCTGAACTATGGGTTATCCATGGTACCAGGCACCAGGGGAAAGCATAAGGCACAAATCCATAATATAATGGTGTGGTCAGTGTGAAACACCTGTCCTGTCCCTGAAGCGCTAGAAATACTTCATTCTGGCTCAAGAGTAGAGATACAAGAGCTTCTATCCCCCAACCCTTAGAAATCCTGGTGAGTTGTAGGGGCTTTCAAGGGAGCCATGATGGTTCATTGATAAACTTCTCATCTTCAATAGAAGAAACCCAGAATTGATTCAAAGCCGATGCAACTTATGCACAGCTATCCCCGATCTGTCACTGGAGGCTTGCATGTTGCAAAAAGAAAAGGAAGTACAGTAGAAAGAAAAGGACACTGGGAATGCTCATGATGGGAGTTGTAATTTTATTAATTTGGGGGGTGGGGTGGAGTGGGAGTTGGTTGAGAGGGTGATTTATAAACAAAAGTTTGCGAGAGGTGAGGGAGTTAGCTATGTAAATATCTGGAAAAGAGTGTTTAAGGAAGAAGAAATAGCAGAGCAAAGATCCTAAGATAGGAACATACATCCTGTATTGGAGAAATGGGAAAATTTCAGTGCAGAAGTAAGGAAAACGTGGGCAATGCGGTCAAAGAGAGACTAGGGAGCTGGTGTTGTGGAGCCTGGCAGGCGTTGTTAAGGGCTTTGGCCTTTACTCTAAAAAAATGGGGGAGGGGGAGATGGACAGCCATAGGATAGCTTTGAACTGAAAGAGGTCATGATGTGAATTTCAACATAAAAAGATGCCTCTGAGTGCTTTCTTAAAACTGTATTGTCAAGGGTTTAGAGGGAAAGACAGGAGGTCATTGCAGAAATCAAGTTAATGGATCAGACTACAGTGTTAATCAGTGGAGATGGTAAGAAGGGTTGTATTCCAGATCTCTTTTGAAGGTTTGAGCCAATTTTGGTTTATCGGCTTAAAGCATGGTTTAATCTTGAAGCATGTAAATTTGATGGTTGGGAATCTGTCACCAGTGACTGATCCTCAGCAGGTATCCTGACTAGTTGCTGACCTTGAAAACTCAGTTACACAGGATGGAAGTTTTCTCTTTTTTTCATATATACATATCACTTCCACTGCCTAATTATAAATTGTTTGAAGTAGAGATAATTTTTTAAACACTTGTTTTCTATACTTCTCCATATCATATCCATTACTAACCATAGTCAGTCCTCTTTACATGCTCATTGATTTCATTCTCAGTGAGTACGTGCACTGTGCTAGCCACATGTATATGAAGTAGGTGACAAGAAGAATTAACTACTGGAAAAGAATATCAAATTAAAAAAAATTTTAATTTTCTAAGTGAGCTGTTCATGAAGTGCCTTCATTTTTTGTATATAGCTTTGTTATAATATTACCTATATGTAAATGTGTATATTTATTATTCATAGGCTTAATTTTAAGATTTTAACAGTGTTTTGACACATAATTTACGAAGCATGCAATTTAATAGTTTACACATATTTAAATGTACAGTATTCATCACAATCAATTTTAGAACATTTTCTTTCTTTCTTTTACTCATTATTTTAGCTCCTCATTTCCCCCAGCCTCCCCGCCATAACCTGAAGAAGCTGTCAATCCAGTTAATTTCCATATATTTAACTTCATGTAAAAGAAAACATACCAGAAAAACTCAACAACAATAACAAAATAAAATAGAAGGAAAATTCAATCAGAAAGAAACAAAATAATAAAAAGTAGGACAAATTTTAAATGGGTCAAAAGGGAGAATACATGAGAAGGTGTTAAATTTTAACCTAACAACATCTTCATTAGTTCACTCTCCAGTGTACTCCATCTGACAGCGAGGTTATTCACATTCACTGGAGGCTTAATCCCGGTGGTGACCCAGCAAATGGATTTTGGGCTTTCACTGTCATTTGCAGCCTTCTGCAAACTGGGTGCTCAGAATTTAAGCTCTTATTCCGTTCCCTCCGCTAGTCTTAGATTTTATTATTTACAGTCTTTGAATCATGCAGTGCTTTTTCCATGTGGACTTAACTAATGTCACACTTAAGATGGCTACTTGTTTTAAGACAAACCTTCTCAAGACCCTAGAGGCTATTTTTTAGGGCCATTATCGAGTAGGATCATGTCATAAGAACTAATTGTTCTTAGATTGGGGTTATGATTAAGTGTGAGCTCAAAATCCATTCATGTATCTATGGTTTGTTTATGTCCCTGGTTCACTTTAGAGACATTGTTATTTTCTTGGATAACAAGGGGACAATCATACCCATGGGGCATATGGTAATTCTGTTGATATTATCATTAATTTAGCCAAGGGTATAGAATTTAAAATATTGTTTTTAGAACAAAATACATGAATTAGTGACTTGTACCCCTTAAAAACTCAAGTGATTAGACACTATTTATGCAAATAATGAGAACTGGAGATAGGGCAAAAATTTCGATAGTGATCATTCAGTGCGTACCTACATTTAAGACATCTATATTTATATATGCAAGTGTGAAATATATTTCAGTCGGAAAGCAGAGCTAATTTAAAATTTTTGTTTTATTTGAATTTACCACTTAAATAGATCAACCATAGCTACATATTCCTAGAACAGTTAATTGAGCTAATTGTATGGAAACAAGACTTTTATTAATATTGGGATACAATTTTTTTCATGTTGTTAATATTAAATTGTTTTGTCTCTTCTCTTGTTTTTCTCTTTGGAAGATAATTATGACTTGGAACCTGCATCTGAGTTAGGAGAAGATTTATTGAAACTCTACGTGGATCACTGTTTTCCAGATATTGATATTTATGTTGATGGAAAAAGTTTTAAAGCTCACAGGTAAAATGAAATGTGATTGATTTCATGTCTTGATTGTAATAATAGCGTGCAATAGGATGTTATCTTTACCAGCACAGTGGTTTTCAAGCTCTGATTTCATGCAGGCCACAGAGGTCCCACAGTTCCACAGTGATGCCTCAGGGGACCTCTGACATGAGAAGAGGCTGCCCATTTGGCCGGGCTTTCTGCCGGCAAGCTCACGCATGCACCGCACCGCCTCCCTCCCACAGACATGCTTCCGCCCAAGCAGATCCTCTGCCTGAATCTCTGCTTCCCGTTGGGCACCAACTAAGACTTCCTTTGAAGAAAATGTTCTCTGATGCCTAAAATAGGTTTGAAAACCATTGTCACAGAAGATTTAGCTAAATGCATTTTTTCATTTCACAAGTATTGTAGAATTGAGAATGACTATTTCTGCTTGAATGACTTGTATTTTCTCTGAATGCATTTTGGCTCAAATTCTGTGATTCAAAATAGATGATACTCGTGACTAGCATTGATTAGGACATTTAGTAGTTCAAAGCACTTTAAAAAAAACAACACTATTATTCTGTTCTTCAATTGGGTTGCTTAAACATTCCAGAATTCTAAATTGAAGCCTGCTCCCTCTTTTGATTCCAAGTCACAAAAATCTGCTTAAAAGAAGAAGAAAGAAAAAAATACAAGTTATTACCTGCTGGAACTCATGGGGGAGAAGTACAGCTGGGCTTCACAACAGATGAACATCAGGACCAGGAAACTGAGGAAGCCGGATAATTATCTTCCCTCTCTTTCTTTGGATTTCAGATAGGATGTTGATAAGAAGTTCTTCTCTTAAGTACAACCAAACACCTCATGGGATTTGGTTCCTTGGTTTGGAGGTTTAGGGTCATGATTTCACAGGACATCCTGGTCATTGACTAATAAACAACATGTTTAGTGCTTCCCTCCCACCTCCTAGTTCTTAGATGCTTACAAGAGGCCATCTCAGCCACAACTGTTGGTCTCTAGTCATTTGAAACAACAGAAGAAAGAGGAGACTCAGGATAGGAGGAAGATAAGGAATGCGTGGCTAGTGGCCAACATGAACAACTGCCTCCTTTGCCCTATGACCAGAAGAACTGGATGGTGTCTGGCTGCCATTGCTGAACATTTTGATCAAATTCCATAGAATAATCCTGACCAAAAGGGATAAACTGCAGAACAAAATTTAAAATTTCATTTACTCAACTTTCTGGAGACATTTAGGGTAGATGAACCCCTAAAACAAATTATTGCTCTGAAATAATCTTTAAACCTTAAACCAAAAATATTCCCTGAATTCATCTTAAAACCAAATAATAGTTTCGCCTCGCCAGTTAAAAGAGCACTGTGCTCTATCAAGAACTGTTGATGTGGGATCAAGAAGCCAAGAGCAACTTGAAGATTAGACAGGCACCTGAGGACGCAGTGAGTTTATGTCAGTGAGGGAGGAACGGCCCAGAAAAGGAGGCTGAGAATGGTTGCAAACCTGGAGAATCAAGCTCAATAAATTGTACATGTAGGAACTTAGAAACTATTGAATTGGCGTATGTTTTGCTATGTATATTTTCAGCAACAATAAAAGAGGTGAAACTTTAAAAGTTATTTGGATACTCTGGAAAAGAAGAAGTAGACTGTTTGCAATGGCCAAGAGCAGCTCCATCATCGCGGTTCAAGAGAACACAGCCTTTCACGAAGCTAGCAGTGGGTTTAGATACAGGAACCCAGTACTTGACTCCTCTTGTTTGTGCTCTCAGAAATCATACTGGTTTTGCCAGCTGATTGGCTGCAGTACATTGCCATACTCTAGCATTGCCCACTTTAAACCAGACTATTTACTGTTCTCAATATGCACTGTACATGTTTTTCCCTGGGAGTATATATTTTATTTTACACTAGTGTAATTTTCTAATTCCTGTGCAATCTCTAATAGTATAGTAAAATATCAGATTGTTTTCAATAGCAAGATCATGGTGTGTGTGTGTGTGTGTGTGTGTTTCTGTGTGTGTGCTGTTGTTTTTCCTCCCCTTTCTCTTCTTTTTCATTTTCCCACTTTCATTACTTTCACAGTTTTATCTTAAAACTTAATTTCATTTCATTTTGTGTCCATATTTTGCTTTAAGCCATGTGGGCACCACACCAGAGTTCTACTTAAAGAACCTGTAGCTATTGCTATCACACAGGGAAGGTGAGGCTTTGTGATCATTTGAAGTATTTCCTCAGTGTCTATATTTGGCCTGTGTATTTCCTGACTGTGAGCTAACGTGGCTATGTTTTAGGGGCTGGGTGTGGGATATGGAATATTAAATGTGTATTCCAGAACAGTTCTTGTTCACATTTCTGGTTAATTCTGTTCACCTATCAATAAAAAAGGAATTTGTATGAATCAGAATGATGATTTCATGAGGATAAATTTCAAGATTTGACCTAAGCTTTCTCCCTTATGTGAGTTACAATGGCAAATTCTCAATTCCAACGTCCCTTCCAAGTCTATACTCTAGCATCTCTCTGTTTGGTACATACTGATTTTATTATTCATGTCAGAAAATGTAAATATATCAAAAGTTCAGAAAACACATAGTCATGTGTCTAATGCCTAACATCAGAAATCTCTGAATTATAGAACTTAAAAAAAATTCTTATTTTAGAATCTTATTCTAGGAATTAAAGATGTCAATATTTATCCTAGAAGAATGGCTAAAATCCATTGGTGACATGGCTACTTTAATTTTTAACTTTTTTGTAATTATATATTGAAAGATCGATGCAGGTACTTACAGTGGACTTGGATTATGATCCAAATTACATTCAATTTAGATCTCCAATTTAAAAACCATTTAATTTTTTAGTTTAATGTGCTCAAATTGGTATGGTAACAAGGTACCCCTCTTCTATAAAAATTGAGCTAATATCTTCCCTCATAGGATGGAAATGAGATTTTTAAAAAATGTATTTTAAGGGTCTGGGCAAAGAGTAGGTATTCTAAGATAACTCCTCTTCCCTTACCACATTTCATCAATCTTTCTAAGCTTTTGGAAAGGATACCAAAGTGGAACGAAAACACTTCTTTCCCTAAACTCTAGCGCTAAACCACTTTGTAAATAGGCAAAGGTAGCAGCTACGCCATCTCCTGTCAACTTGTGAAGGGGTGGAGTCTAGCCTGTCAATCAGGTAGAATCTTGATATCATTTGGAAGGCACAAATGGAGATAATAGCTCACTGGAGGCCAGATACCTGCTCACTCCCTGGGAGACATTCCTGTTGACAACCCACTTGGAGCTATGCTGATAGATACAGCACTCTGGAGCTGGAGGAGCCACGTGGAGACCCACACCAGCTTTGAGATGGTTCCACCACCACTGGATCCACAAGACTTTCCACCCACTGGCCTGTGATCTTCCTGCATTCACCGTCATTGCATGGCTGCGTGAGTCTAAAGAGGAATTTATGGACTAGTATCGGCATATGGGGTAATATTGGACTTACAGACTTGATCTAGACTGGGCTGGGATGTTTTCTTAATGTACAGTGGTCTTTGATATAAAGTTCTTTCTTACACACATATGAGTGTCTATAAATGTGTTGTTCTAGTCTACCCAGAGTAACACATTATGGTACCTTGGGAGTGGGGCACTAGAGAATAATAAAGATGGAGAGTGCATGCTTGTTTGACCTCTGCCTCATGGTAGTTTTTCTTGTTTGGCTCGCCAGAGGTCAGTGGCCATGCAGTTTACTGTGTTGTTTTCTGGAAAGAATATGGGAAGTTAAAGTTTTGATTATTTTGTTTGGTTGTTGGTTTTGGTTATTCCTGTTTGAAATGGTGAAAATGAATGTTGTTAATATATATTTTGAGCTCAGGGGTAGAAATCGCTGTTTGAATTTTTCAGAGACCTTGTTGCTTAGTGAAAATGTCTGACAGAAGGTCAAAATGGCTGACAGAAGGAACTGGCTTAATGCAGTCAGCAATATTTTGTATCAGTGGAATAATTTAGATAATGATTAAGATAAGTTAGATAAGGATGGGACTTTACTTTTAAGAATTGAGTTTAGGATTTGATTCTACTTTGTTTATACTGATTTCCTCTGCTTATTATTGTTGATATAATAATTGATAGAAATGACTATTGGGAAGTATGAAATTAGAGAGCTTGTAAGCCTTGCCTTCAGTCATTAAAATTTGAATCGTTAAATGGGTTTAGGACATGCCTGCAAAGAAGGCTTTGAAAAGATAAACCCCACCCAGTGTCTTGAGTGCTCAGGACATTCAAAGATGAAGACACTTGCCTATGGGGCTGTTGACAGATTAGGGTGGGGGGAGAGGAAAAGGAAGAGGGGAAGCTCTTTGGCTTTTTGAATTTGAACTAGTGGTCTGTGCCCAAAGCTGGGAAAAAACTCTGGAGCACTGAAAAACTCCTCTCTAGGACTAAATGATAAACGGATTCCGTGGGCAGGTTAAAATGCTCACTAGGTGACCACCTGGATCCACTTGTTGAATGGAAGTGAGAGGAATGCAGCAATAAAGAGACAGGTTAAGTTGGGCCACTGACAACCATGGACCTGGTTCTTAGGGACTAGAGAAGAAGTTAAGAGTGGGTTGACTGGTCTGAAGTTCATGACCTAGCCCAAGGGATCGAGGATTGTTGAGAATTTGTGACACTGCCCATGATCTAAAGGTGAGGCAACCAATGGGCACCCTGGTGAGGCTAAGTGAGGCAGCCCGCATTGAGTTGACTAGAACCCAATCAGATGAAGAGAAGAGTTTTGAGGCTGTGATTTGGTGCCTATTGCTGTTGACTTTATGGATGGCCTATCCTGATTTGATTTTGCTTATGGATGCAGACTTCACAAGGTTCCAACTGGAAAGATTTTCATGTCAAAGAATACAATTGTTTCCTCAGAGCACCGTGTTGATGTAAGTGCGCAGTATAGAAATTGGATACCCAACACCCAACATGAAGTGGCTGGCTTACAAACTTTCAGAGGTGGGGAATATATTCATA